TTTTTTTCGATATGAATCAAAAAATGATTTTGCTAGTTTAGTATGAGAATGTGATTTGATACCTGGCTTGTTAACTGATCTGCCAAAAAGAAATCAGGAAGCCTCACCTGCAAAAGCGAGACGATAGAGAAAAATGAACGACGAGCTTATAAAAGTTAAAAAAAAAAGAATTAAACTTTAAATGGTTTTTAACTTTCTATACACCATCAGAGAACCAAAAGATAAAAATCATTTTTACCTTATACAGTGGCGCGCAAATACAATGCCACAAGCAATGGATTAGAAAGAAACGACTCGAGCGGTAAATTATATTGAATGGACAGAAGGCTATTAAGAGCACAGCCTGCAAGTGAGAAATTCTTGATTTGACTTGGTACTTATTAAAAAAGAAAACAAAAATAAAAAATGAAAACGAAAGAAGACCCGACAAGTGATTCTCAGCTTAGCAGAAAAACGAACGAACATTTTATTTTTTCGTAGGCTTTTTTATAACCTTTTTAAAGTTTAAAGCTCGAAAACATTTTACGATAGTGCATATAAACTTACGATGACTAGGCCAAGAGGAACCAATTCAGTGAGTGTTTTATAGCTTTTAGTCCTCGGATCCATCTCCATGTCAAGGTTCGAAAGCACAGCAGCCAATGCAAGAACCGAAAGTCCCGAAGCAAGAAGAAGAATTTCTCTAAAACCCAATTCAGTTCCCGACTTAAATCCGAATATAAACGGGTAATTCACTCGAAAACGCCTCCAAAGGTAAGTGTTCCATCCATACATCACCATGTGAAGGACAATAAAACCGAACAAGCTGAGCCCAAGTAGAAAAAAAAAAAACAAAAAAACAAAAAAACAAAATTACTTTAACGAACTCAAAAAACTTTTAAACATATTTTAAGCTAGTTATAAAGAATCTTTATTTACACCTATAGAGTGGAAATATGTTCTCCATGTAGAGCCCACGTCCCTCGTGATTCAGAAGGTTGCGAGCGTGTATCGAGACGATAATGGCAGCAATTAGCGCTATCGAGCAGCCGGTAAATAAACCTTAACAAGAAAAAAATCGGGTTTTGCTAAAAAAACGAGTCTTTTTTTTTTATAATTGAAATGAACCTCATTAGTGAAGAAAATTGTTTGCTAAAAATTGAGTTTTTTTTTCAGGTTTTACATTTTAAACGAAAGGCGCGGTTTTGATGATGAGCTTACTTACCGAGGAAAAATGTTACTCTGTGTCTCTCCTTTTTATGTCCAGGCTTCAAAGATTTTATTCCTTTTCTTCGGTTGCCGTTTGAGAAGTGCTTGATGAATGTGGATTCGAGTCTCTCTATGAGCTTGTTGACCTGAAAAAATTACAACTTCTTGAATACAAAACCTCATAAAATAGATGTAAAAAAAAAAAATAGCACGTCTAACAGTAGAAAAAACCTCATCAGAGCTGCCAAGATAAGACTTGTCAACCATCTCTAAATAAGCTTTTGAAGCACTCCTTGAGGTAATCTACACAAAAAGAAGAGAAAAGGGTAAAAAAAAAATAAAAAAATGAGTACTTGGTTAATCATGTTATATAAAAACTTCAGTTAAATAAACAAGATCAATCGAACTACCTTGTCGTATTTCTTCATTATCTTGGAAAATGCAAGCATATTCAAGAAACTGACAGAGAATGGACAAAAAATGCATTAGTTAAGAGGGAGTTTCTTTAATATTGTATCATTTGTTAAAAAAAATAAAATTACCAGTAACTTTTCAAAAGTCGAAGTTGTTGGTAAAATTCGATGAAGGCCTTTCTCAATTTTTCCTCTGCTTTCCTGAGCTCCTCCTTACTGAATGACAGCTCGGATTTCGAGCTCATAATGATGTTTTTCATAGTCGAGACTGGCGATTCGGGATCAACGTTGATTTTCACGTGATCCAAAACATTCAAAGAAGCTGGCTTGAATTCCATGTTATCCTTCTTCTTTTTATTGGCTTCATCAGTAGTCATCTCTACTTCATGAATTACATCCATGCGTGAAACTCCTTCATATTAAAGAAAAAAAAAAAAAAAACAACGCGAAAATTGAGAATTATAAGAACTTACAAACAACCAAACCAAGCGAACCTTGCTCTACTGCATAGTTCTGACAAATCTAGAGGAGGGATTTATTACATATTGGCCAAATGGAAGTAAACTTTATTCAAGAAACACAGACCAGACCAGCTTTTCCATTTTGTATTTGTATTTACGTGTGGATTTTCACGTTCATCACAGACTAAACGAACATAGGATCAGATGTACAGAGAGAAATGGCACTTTATTTTTCACTTTCTTCTCTTTGAGCCCCTTAAAGTGAAAATTTTGATTCAATCATATGCTAGTGCACATAATCAAGAAAATCGGTTCTCGGCAAAATAAAACTTCGAACTTGGCCGGCCAAACCCCATTCCCCCACAGATTTTTTGCATTATCCATCATTCATTTTCAAGGACCAAACCAAGAAATAAAAAAAATTCACAACACAAACCAATGACAAAACAAGCAAACCAGACCATATGTAGACTAAAGAGAGCAAACAAACAAACAAACAAACAAGCACTTGCTTTTCTCCATTAACAGATGCAATAACAGTAGCAAGGCTTTCATAATGACCACATATTTTTGCATTATCCATCATTCATTTTCAAGGACCAAATCAAGAAATGATATATATCACAACACAACCAATGACAAAAACAAGCAAACCAGACTATATGTAGACTTAAAGAGAGCAAACAAACAAATAAATAAACCTTGTTTTTCTCCATTAACAGATGCAATAACAGTAGCAGGGCTCGAACTTCCATAATCACCACCGGACACGAGCCGGGCTCTCGAGCCCAAACCATTAGGCCTATCAACTCTGATTCTAAGCGCAATAAGCGCATCCATTTGCTTGCTCAGCTCATCGGCCTCAACCTTAGCCTCCTCAACTTTTTCCTTATAAAATCCAACAACTTTGTTAAATTCCTCATCGAGCTTTCGGAAAAAATCGAGCTCCTGCTGCCCGCCTTCCTCGGACGACCTCAAAAACATAGTCTGGTAATTGTTTTCGGAACCCTCGCCTACTAAAATCACTTCATCTTCCTTCTCATTGGGTCCGATTTTTCGAGCCGAAAGCCCGCTGAAGGCCCGGTACATGGTGAGTCTCCTCCTCAGAGAGCCCGATTGGGCCGGAGAGCCCGGATTCGACTGCGAAGCTTTCTGCTGTCTGAATCTCAAGAGAGCTTTGAGTTGCTTTTTGAGGTGGGCATAGTCCATGTACGCTCCCTGCCATTCTTGCACCATTTGGGAAGCTAGCTCTTTTCCAAACTTCATTTTTGTGAGGCAAAAACATACAGTCTTTGCAATAAAAATCCAATCTTTACAATAAAAATACAATCTTTTTATTTTATTTTTTTTTTTACTAAGAAAAGAAAAAAAAAAAAGACAGCGTCTTTATAGTTTCAAATAAATGTTTCCAATTCAATCAAGAATGAAGAAAGTTAGCTTGAATGAGGACCAAACGTGCTTGAAGATTTCAACAGATCATATGTATTACAATTTTATTTAATTTGATTTGTTCATCTAATTTTGTTATAAAAATGATAAATTATCACTATTTCAATTCACACCAATTATGATTAAAGTTGACCTTTAATTTCCCACCTGCTCCTTTTTTTTTTTTCCCATATCATTGATTCATTGTTAGTACCAATATTATTTTTATGACTTGGTTGTACGTAAGAAAATTGTTAGTGTTTGACAACACGAGTTGAATTTATTAATATTGATCATCGAGCTTAATTATAAAAAGATTATATCAAGATTCATATTTTCGAGCATTAACTAAATTAGCTCGATCAAACAACTTGAATTTACCAAGCTCACAAGCAGGTTGTTTCGTTGAAAAACTAAAATCGTGACCTTTTTCTAAGTCACAAATTATTGTGTGAAACAGTGTAATCATTAGGTAGATCGATCCGTCATACATTTTTAACAAATATGCATAGTATCATGTTTTTATTATTAACGTTGTTTTGAAAGTGATACATGTTGGAAAAAATATAAATGTCTTACTTTTTCTTGTTTATCTTTCTACTTGATGAACTATTAGTTTGGTACCTAATACTTTGTTAATTAAAATGTTCTCTCATACAATTTTAAAAATTAAATTATGACCATGTCAAATTTATGCATACGTGATCAATTTGTTGTCTTTGCCAGCTTGGAAGAATAAAGAAATATCTACCAAATATCACTAATCGCAATTTATAATAGCTGGAAAATTTGACATGATTCAATTCTTCTGTTACTTCCATTATATGATTATTGCTGTTATTCACATTGTTATATTTGAAGGACCTACAAGTTTAACATACATATGCTCTATGGTCCAATGGTTTTGTTTCTTGATGTTTTTTTTCTATACTTCTTTGGCTAATTGAGAGTATAAGTATTAGGAATCACGAATTGAACGGCTCGTGAGCTGTTGCATTGGCTCGAATCATCCATGCCTTGAATCAAGGTTGAGTTTGACCAGGGTTCAATTCAAATTCGAACTCAAAGGGGTCAAATATAAGATTTGGTAATAATGATTCATTTGACTGGGCATACATGATTAGGCCTGCAAACAAGCCGACTTCGAGCTCAGAGTGGTCGAGCTTGAGCCTTCAACGAGTCAAGCCCACCTCGACTAATTAATTAAATGAACCCGAAATAGAGCTCGAGTTTGTTTGTCAATATAAGACCAGTTTGAGCCTTAACGAGTCAATCTCAAACTTTTACAAGTTGAACTATAAAAAAATTCTTTTCGAGCCTAATAGAGCTCATCTGGTTAACGAAATGGGCTCTAAGAGAGCTGAGCTCAACTTGATAATCAAACGAGTCGAATTGAACTCGCGCCTTAAAGAGTCGAATTCATGCTCTATAAATGCTACACCCTTGTTTCAGTTAACATTATTTTAATTGAATATTTAACACCTTTGATCTAAAAGTCAGTTGGCTAAAAAGTCGGCTTAGGCGGCCGCCTAGGCGTTGTCCAGCCGCCTCCGATTTGTATAAATCGACTGAAAAAATCGACTTGGCGGCTCGGCAAAAAATTTTCAATTTTTTTTTTATTTTAAAAAAACTAATTATATTATTTTGTTATTATGTTTTCTTTATAATATACTAATATTATTATTTGGAATTAAGGGTGTTGATTTATTATGAGTTATAACTTTATTATGTAGGTAGTGAAAATAAATAAAAAATAAAATATTTAATCTTAATTTTTAGCCCCCGCCTAAACCCTCTAGCTAGCACCGGTCGAGCGCCTAATAACTTGTAGAACACTATTTAACACAATTCCATCCAAGACACACACAACATAACTAAAAGAACACCCACAATGCTTTGAGTCTCTTTTTGCATATATTACAAATAAATAGACTTAAGTTCATAATGACATGGACAAACCGAAGCTAAAAAATCCAAAATCTATCCAATGCAAAACAAAAAAGTACTAGGTCTAGAATACTAAACAATCAATAATAATATAGTAATAATAAATGCATACAGAAAAAAAATGAGTTTTGCCTATTAAAAAGAAAAAGAAAATTATGAACAATTAATGACTAGGTGGATTTGCACTTGGGTCCAAAATAGACCCAAGTGTAGACTTAGTCTCTTTTTTCTAGTGTCACATAAGTTAGATTAAGTCCACTTTTAATTGCATTGTGAAACATTTTTGAGGAATTTGCACTCTCCACTTAATTAATCTATCTTTATTACATAATTACATCCCTTATATAAGTATTTACAAATTAACTAAATTTTTAAAATTTATTTGCATATATGCCTAAAATATGTTTGAGAAATTAATGGGACTCTATTAATTACAAAAAAACTGATATCCTATGTATATGGTAACTTTCCACCCATTAACTATGTCTCTCACCTTCTTCATTCTTTCTCTCTTTTCTTCACACTCCAAATCCACGCCGCCGCTTCATGTTAGCGTAGCCCTGCCGTTGTGTTTTCCTCCATTAAAAACCATAGCCTCCAAATAATTAAACCAAAAAAAAAAAGTAAAAAATAAGACAAAAATTAGGGCAATTCCACCCAAAGGGATTTGGAGTCGAGTGATGCATATGCAATTTGTCTTTTCCACCACAAAAGCCCGCAAGCAGAAAAGAAAAATTGGGGCAATTACACTTTGCAGATCAAGAAGCCCGGAGATCGAGAAAGCATCTGCCCTGATTTGCAGATGAAGAAGCCCGGAGATTGAGAAAAAAATAAATACATCTCGCGTTCGAAAATCCACCGGTAAGTCTCATCTTCAAACGGTCAATTCATCCACTAATTTCGACGATTCTTGTCCGACCAGGCGATACATCTTAAAAAATTATTCGGATTCACTGTAAATCAAAAAAGTTCAAATCGACTGAAAATGAGAGCTTGTCTGCCCCGATCCCCATGGTGAAAGTGAATATGAAGAAGATAATGCGGTCCTTTTTAAACCTGTTTACCCTTTCTTTTTTCTTTTTTCTTTTTATTCTTTAACCTGCGTGAACATATGTAGTATATGTTCGTATATGTACAATATATGTTTAATATATACTTTTTTTCTATCTGATCTAACGAAAAACTTTTCAGATGATAATTGTCGAACACGATGTGCTTGATTTGTTGATAGATATTTATATTATGTACATGTTGCGGGTATATATTGTGGGTATATATAGTATATTTTCGGAATATGTATCGATATGAAATTTTTTATATTTCGGGTGTGAAAATTTACACGTTGCGGGTATATGTTGCGAGTATATACCAAAGTTGCACAACACACATATACATAAAATATACGTACAATATGCATAAAATACACAATCGAGATTCACGTAATTCAAGTCCACGATACCACATATACATAAAATATACTTTAAATATACACTCGAGTTTCAATCGTTTCTCAAAATCGATTTCAAAACCCACATATACATAAAATATACCTAAGATATACACTTCAGATATTTTCACGAGAAGATTGTTTCCCTCTGGCAGAACCCACATATACATAAAAATATATCTGATATATACCTAAATTATACCTCAAATATACCCAACTTTTTTTTTTTTTAAATTTGAAACTTTTCACAGTCAGTCCGAAAATCTAGCGCAAAAAACATGGAATAAGATAGAGAAAGAGAAGTAACTGATTGTAGGCATGATTGCAAATAATCCTTATCTATTAAGTATAATCCAATTAAAGTGTTATTAAAGGTAATGTTGCAATTACTTAAAAAACCGTAAGTATACATAAAAATTTCCCAATATTTTTTTATAGACTAAGTCTATTTCCTAGGTGACATTTGATTTTTTTATAAGAGACCCAAAGTATTGTGGGTGATCTAAGACCAACTAAAAAATAAAAAAAGACAGTTCAAATATTCAATTCAACACACAGCATCAGCCCAAATCTTTTGTCACACAAGCCAGTTCATAGTAAAAATTAAAAACATCACAATATCCCCAGAGATCTGGGGTTTACTAAAACCAAAATAAAACTTTCACAATCACTGTCAATGGCTAGATAGGCCACTCGAGAAGTTTCATTTTTATTTCAAGCATACGGCTTAGGGAACCATTATGCGACACAACACAAAAGGAAACAAACGCCAAACCAGAAGAAAAGATGAGAAAAAAGAAAAAAAGCACACCAACTCTTTATTTGGTAATGAGGCAAAGAACTTAATCAGTCGACTTAATCATCATAGTGCTTGCGGTGGTGGTGGTGCTTATGACGATGCTTCTTCTTCTCTTCATCATCGTCATCATCATCAGATTTATCCTCTCCCTGCATCATTCACTATTGAATTAGAACTAGGGATCACAAAAAAATTAGAAGTTTCGAATCATGTTTATAGGAAAAAACATATTATCCTATTAAGCACTACCGCAGACCGTAGTATAATACTCAACAAGAAACCTAAGCAAGAAAAACCCACCACAGGATTTCAATTTCTGATATTCACCTGCAATTATTGATCCTAGACTTGGTAAATTTTAAATTTCAAATGCCACTATTGAGTTTATATTCTTATGACCATTAAGAACATATACAAGGACTAACTAAGTGATGGTCCTTAGCCTTAACAAAGTGCTTAATATTATCCATTTAAGCACTACACAGATCATAATATAATACTAAACAAGAAACCTAAGAAAGTAAAAACCCAACACAGGATCTCAAATTCTGATACTGGCCTGCAATTATTGATCCTAGACTCAGTAAATTTTTAATTCAAATGCCACTCTTAATATCTAATGGACAATACAAGGAGTAACTAACTAAGTGATGTTCTTTAGCCTAACGGCCTTGATATCTAATGAACCATCTCCAAGTATAAAATCGACATATTTAGCCGAAAAGTATGGACCTTCCATTGCTAGCAAAGCAGACAATTGCCAACACTTTTACTACATTTCATTCAATCCATATCTTCAATCAAACTTGATTTATGAGCTGGATTAATACTTCACAAATAATCAGCTCTATAATAATTAATAATGTGGTGATTTTACTGGGATGCTGCAACTAAAGTTGTCGTCCTCATTACCTCATCAGTCATCACTAATTCATCCAACACAATAAAATCCAAACTATGCAATTAAACAACATTTGGTATCGACAGTGAAACCAATTAAAAGGCTCTTCCATCAACACCAAATAATTTTAACAAATTATACAAGTTAACAAGTGAAGTTAGGAAAGGCTCACATATTTCTTGCGACCATAGCTCTCATCATCATCATCATCACGCCTCTCATAGCGTGGTTTCCTGTAATCCTCCTCCTCAGACCTCCCATAGCTGGGCCTCTGGTACTCCTCCGTCTCATAGCTGGGCCGCTCGTAGCTGGGCTTCTCCTCCCCATACTCGCTTCTATCGGGCCTCCGTCCAGACCCATAACCTCCACCAGACCCGTATTCCTCGGATTCGGGCTTCCTAACATATCCGGATCCGTATTCAGAACTGCCATATTCAGGCTCAGATTTCCTCCCGTAACCCGATCCATACTCCGAGGTGGGCTCGTACTCATTCTTCCGCCCATAACCCGATTCGTAATCGGGTTTCCTACCATACCCTGATCCATACTCGGAGCTGGGTTCTTCATACTCTGGCTTCCTCCCATACCCGGATCCATACTCGGATTCCGGTTTCTCGTACTGGG